TGCGGCCCAGTCCGACGCGCGTTCCGATCCCATCCGAGCCCCCGACTCGAGGCGTTCGGATATCCTGCCACCCCCTCCGCCCCTTCTCCGAGGCGGGGGGTTGATCTTCGGGGACCTCGGCGCGGGCGGTGGACAGATCCACCGCCCCCTGGGGTCGCAGGACGTCAGCCCAGGCATGTGGTGTGTGCCGATTGTGTTCCGCGCGGGGCCCTCGGCAGTCCCGACCCCTGCCCCCAGGGGCCCGTGCTGCATCCCGAGTCGTGGTCTGACGGCCCCATGGCCCGACCCCACGGCCCGACGAGGGCCCCTTGGAGGCCCCCAATGGCCGCAATGTTTCGGGAGGGGCAAAAGGCACACAGACACAATGAATCGTCGATTCCCAGGAAATGTGGGAAAATATGGAAAGGGGGGGGGGGAAGACAAAACCCCGGAACATGGGAAAATACAGGGAATCCGGTTGTTTGTGTCTATTTATTTGTGTGTCCCAGGGTCCCTTCAATATTCGAGTCATGGCTCTATTGCAGCAGGACCGAGGTATAAGATCGAGGTCGGTTCGGGGAGGTGTTTGCTGGATGTTCTTGTGCATCCTGGGAGGATACAGTCGAGTTTGATCAGTGGGTCGACCCCTTGTCGCGACCCATGCCCTCCACATTCAACTGGCAATGTGGCCATCGGAAGGGTCTTGTGTCCTCTCGAGTGTCCTCTCCACTCCACTCCGACTGCACCCTCGGAAGTTATGTGTGTCTTGGCCAGCAGAAAGGCCCATGGTCTGGAAGGATCTTATTCAGTCCTGCATCGGATTGTACGCCGCGAGCATGTTTCACCGGGCGCGTTCCACGACTCGCAAACGTCCGAAAAAACTGCTCTGCGAGCAGTGAAACGCAGATGGGGAAGTATGGGAGCGTGGGGGGGAGGCGAAAACCCAGAAAGCATGGAAAAACATGGGGAATCTGGCTATTGGTGCGTGTGTGTAACATGGGAAATCTGGCTATTGGTGTGTGTTTATCTGTGTGTCCCAGGGCCCCCTCGGAGTCCCCGCCCCGCACCTCCTGCCCCCAATGGGAGAGCGCCTCCTCGGCGCGCCGGCCCCCCGCGAGGGCGCAGCGGCCTCCTGTCGCGGCCGGGCCCCCGCGTCCCTGCTGCGGCGGGCCCGGTGGGGACGCTCGCCGCCGTGGTCAGGGCGCCAGGGACGGGGGCACTCAGGCGCGACAGAAGGACGTACACGTACATGGATCCACGTACGTTTCGAGAGTATGCCGTGTTCGACTGGTCGTATCACGCGGGCGGTCTCGCGGATCGAGGGGCCGTGTTCATGTACATGGTTGGGCACGCACGTCCTTTGTAGGGTCCCTGGGCACAGCAAACGGGGGCAAGGGGAACGCCAAGTTTTATGATGCTCCAACCTGCTCTTAGCCTTGACCACCAGAGAGAACTTCGAGCACCAGGAGTACCGAAACTTGAAGGTGTTCGCGTGTCGGGCCCTGGGAGGCGACACTCGTTCGACACTGTTTCGACACTTCTACGGGTGCTCGAAATTATTTCTGGGAAAGTGGCCCTTAAATACGATGGGAGCAACAGAAGCCGAGTTCCACGTTTGGCTATGCCCCCGTTTAGGGAGGGGGCCCTGCGCCGCAGACGGGGGTTACAGTGAACGGAGGCAGATGGAAGAGCCTAAACCCCCGTTCAGCTAAACCTCCGTTTACGAAGCCCCGGCATGGGGGTTGGAGGCCGCGCTATTTAGGGCTGCGATAAAGGGGGGGGGGGGGGGCAGCGAGGGCTGCCGAAAACGGGCCCTGCAGGGCCCCTAAAGCGGAGGTTGATGGACCTCCTACCCTGCCACGTCGATCAGCGAACTGGCCGTTTTCGGTTCGCGAGAGGGCGCCGCGGCCGTCATTTTTGCGGGTCAGGTCCGTCGGTTTCGGTCCTAGGTCGTTTTCAATAAAGGGTGGGTTGCTAAAGGGAGGTTTGTCCACCGCCGACTAAAAGGGGCCCTGTAGGACCCAGCAGGGGGCCTTTCTCGGGCCCGAAGAGGGCACCTTTCTCCCAAGTGATCTGTCGCCCCTCCATTACCTTCGCGCCCAAGGGGGTGGCGGGTCCTGAGGGGAACTGGTCCCGAGGTTTCTTCCTTGCCGTGTTTGGGCCCTCGGGGCCCTCCGCGGTCTCTGGGGCTGGCAGACGACGGCTCAGGATGAAAACTCACCCTGGGGGAAGGCCCAGGGTCCAGGTTCTGTCGCCCTCAGGAAAATGGTCAGGGGACGATTCTAGTCACCATGTTTGGTTCTTGTTGTTTGCTTCTGCTTCTGCAATCTCCCATTTCTCGTCCAAGATCCGCCTCGAGGGGAACAGGCGCGACCTGATGCCAAGACTTGTTCGCCCCCGTCCCCAGGCCGCGCTCTCCACGCCTCTCTCTCTCTCCGGCTCGGCACGCCCACAGAGTGTCCGGGCCCTGCGTGCTGGGGGGGGGGGGGGGGCGAGCCACCACGGAAGGGGGGGGGGTGAAGAGATGTGCCATTCACGGGCGCCCTCGGGGGCCCCAGAGGGGCACCGCGGGGCCCTCGAGGGGCACGACAGGTGCACGCGTGTTCTCGCCCGCCCCCGTGCATCGCCCCCCCTCCCCCCCCCCCGAGACAGGGTGCGGTCGGTTCGCGCTGTGCCGCCGCGACGGCGACGCGCGCGCGCGCGCGTTCTCGGGGTCGAGCGCCGCCGCGGGGCTGCTCTCCCCACGCCCCCGCGGCTCGGAAGGCCCGCAGTCAGGAGGTAAAAGCACGCAGACATAATGGATCGCCGACTCTCCAGAAAAAGCACACAGGCATAATGAATCGTCGATCCCCCAGAAAGTGTGGGAAACTATGGGAAGGGGGGGGAAGGCAAGAGCCCAGAAAGCATGGGAGAATAATTACACGCCGGTCGTTGAAAATAGGTAGATGTGATCCCAATCTATTTCTAGCACCTCTCTATTTCAAGAGCCATCAGCTTCTGCTGTTTTTGTCATTCTCTGGGAGGGCCTGGGCCCAATCTACTTTACCCGCCTTCCTACTTCACGTGTTTACCTACTTCCTCCGACCGACGTGTCTGGGGAATCCTGTTGTCTGTGTCTGCAGTCAGGAGGTAAAAGGCACACAGGCATAATGAATCGTCGATTCCCCAGAAAAAAGTGCGGGAACATGTGTGAAGTGGGGGGGGGGGAAGACACGAGCCCAGCGAGCATGGGAGAATCATTAGGGGACCTCCTGCCATTTGCGTCTGCTCATCTGTGTGTCCCAGGGCCCCCACTCGCACGGAGGCCCGCGGCGGGTCGGCTCTGCAGGCGCGGCGGCGCGGCGGCGGAGCCAGCGCGCGCGCGCGCGCTCCGGGTCGACGCGCCGCCAGGGCTCTGGGAGTTGACCAGGAGGGAAGAAAACACACAGACACAATTAATCGCCGATTCCCCAGAAAACATAGGCAAATATGGGCAGTGGGGGGGAAGACGAAGACCCAGAAAATGTGGGAAAAGATGGGGAATCCTGTTATTTGTGTCTATTTATTTGTGTGTCCCAGGGCCCCTTCACTGTCCCTGTACAGGAGGGATATTCGAAAATAGTCAAAACACAGTCAGGGGGCGATTTGTTTTAGTATTTTTGGCGATTTGTTGGGTTATTATTTGGCTACTTTTATGTTTTCGTCCAACATCCGCCTGTAGGAGGACATGCCCGACCCAAGCCTGCAGTCGTCTGGCATCGAGCGGTCCAGGACGCGGCCGACAGCGAGCGGTCCGCGCTAAGTTCGGAGGTTGGTAGACCTACCCTGCCACGTCGATTATATAGCGAACTGGCCGTTTTCGATTCGCGAGAAGGCGTCGCGGCCGTCATTTTTGCGGGTCCAGGTCCGTCGGTTTCGGTCCTAGGCCGTTTTCACTAAACGTTGGTTTACTAAAGGGAGGTTTGTCCACCGCCAATCGTTATCGGGAGGCCGCGATGTTTCAGCATTGGGCGATCCACGCGGCGTTAATAAGCCAGTCGCCAGTGTCACGGCGCGAGTCTGCCGTATGGGATCAGCCCGCGCCGCACGTCTAACCGCGCGGGCGATTTGCGCATCACGCCTTCGCGGTGCCGGAGCCGCGCATTTTTCTAAATCTGCGCCTTGCAGGGGAAAAGAGCTCCCCAGCGCAAAGAGAGCGCTGTCCTTTTTGTTGGCGAGCGGGAGGAGGGGAGAGGCGATGAAGAGAAGAGGAGAAGAGGTGGGGCAGCGAAGCTGTCTGTCGGTTCAGGGAGCGGGGAAGGAGATTTCGTGTGTGTCTGTGTGAATGTGTGTGTGTGTGTGTGTGTGTGTGTGTGTGTGTGTGGGGTGTGTGCTTGTGCGTGTGTATGTGTGTGTGTGTGTGTGCTTGTGCGTGTATGTGTGTGTGTGTGCGTGTGTGTGTGTGTATATGTGTGTGTGTGTGCGTGTGTGCATGTGTGTGTGAATGTCTGTCTGCCTGCCTGCCTGCCTGCCTGCCTGCCTGCCTGCCTGCCTGCCTGCCTGCCTGCCTGCCTGTCTGTCTGTCTGTCTGTCTGTCTGTCTGTCTGTCTGTCTGTCTGTCTGTCTGTGTGCTTGTGTTGTGCGCCTTTGGGTGTTGCACTGCCTGGCCTCGGCTGTTGAGCGGTCGGCTGCGCCCGTTCCTCACGTGGAGTTCGACCCTGCTCACGCAGCCACGCGCAGGGTGGTCAAGTTGTGCCCAGGGGCCGATCTTCAGCGAGGCATGGTTGGAGGGGGACCCAGACCCCGACGTAATGATTTGTTCATTACGTCGACCCCCAGAGGTCCCGACCCTTTCCCCATGACCGGCTTTCGTGACGTTTGTCATTACTCGAGGGGGTCCTGGGAGGTGGGTCGGAGAGGCGGGCCGAGGAAGCGGATGAGTCGTTCCAGAGCGTTCCGGGGCCTTCTGAAACGGCCGCAGCGCCTGGCACATCCTGCAGACCAGGCCCGCCGGCTCTCAGAGGTTCCCTTGTCCCGCTCTCGTCTCGAGGGCGTGGAGGGGGGGAGCAGCTGCGACGAGGCAGCAGGTCGCGACGACCCTGCCGAGGCCCGCCGGACGTGACGTGGCCGGGCCCCTCAACGCGCCACTCTTCCTTCCCTCTTGCGCCGGGGCCGCCGAGGCCGCTGCGGCCTCGGCCAGGCCTGGCGTGCAGGGTGCGGCCCGACTGCGGCCCGCTTGCTTTCCTGCGCGCTCCCGCCCCGCGGCCTCTTCTGGTGGCGCGGGCGGGGGCCGCCCCGGCCTCTCCCGGGGGCCGGGCGGGAGGTGGCGCCTCGCAAGTGGGGGGCCCGGAGCGCCCATGCCCGCGGCTCAGTTCCCTCGCCGCTCTCGCCACTGCTGGGCTGGTGTTCCACCAGCACCACCACAAGTTGGAGGGGGAGGGGCTCCTCCTCCACCTCCTCCTCCTCCTCCTCCTCCTCCTCCATCCCCCCTCCAACTCATGGAGGTGGTGGTGGAAAACAGGCCCATCTGCCCCGGCTCGCCAGGGGCCAGAAGCACAGTGAGCTTCGAGTGGCGGGTCCGAAGAGTTCGGCTGAGCGCAAGCGTGAAGGCCTCTTCGCCGTTGGGGGCCTGCGGTGGGCGGCTTTCGGGGCGCGCGAGGGGCCCAGACACGCGGGCCGTCGCTGCCGGGTCGCGTGCGGCTATCGAGAGGCCGCGCGCCGGGGGCCGCGATTGCCCAAGGCCGCCCTTTCGCGTGTACACCAGTATCGTCTATCCGCCGATCCCTATCCCTATCCCCATCCCGATCCCCACCATCCCATCACCCCAGTCGGGGATCTGCCCCCCAGAGGGAACCGCCCACATCCCCACCCCAGGGGTAAATCGGCCAGTGGGGCCCAGGCCACGCCAGTGAGGATAGGGATGGGCTAAACGATGCTCACTACAGGACTCTTGCCCAGGGTTACTCTTGGCCGTGACAGGCATGAAGGCCCAGAGCACCAACTGGCAAGTTTTGTTGTCCAGGCCACGCGGCCCGGCGCGCGTGCACGGCTCGAGCTCGGCGTCCCGGGCTCCAACCCGCTCGGAGATGGTTTTTTGTTTGCATCCTCTGGCGCGCAGCGGCCGTTACCTGGACCAGACCCCGCCCCCCTCTGGTAACGGTAACCATCGTACGCAGGGGGGGGGCGCGAGCTTTGGACCCCCCCACACGTGATGGTGCCCGCGCGCATACCGCGGCGATCGCAGCACACCCCCGCCCCGACGTGCCCCGGCCCGCCCAAGTGTTCCCGGTTGCCGTTACCCGGGGCCCGACGGTCTTCCCCCCGGGGTTAACGGCCGTTCCTGGACAGATCATTCATATACAGATAATCGCCCGAGACGTACCCAACCCCCTTTCCAAGCGAGGCGAATATATGCATGAACATTCCGTACAAAATAACCCACCGCCAGATATGCACGATCTCCGCTGCCCTCATCTCTGCCGTGCCTCCCACGAGCGTGCGAAAGTGGCGACAGTTGCGCAGTTCGCAGCCACCCAGGGAGCAGCGAGGTCCCGTCTGGGTGCGCGCGACAACCGACTCCGCTGGAGCTCCCGGTCGCACACGAAAGTGGTGACGGTTGCGCAGTTCGCAGCCCCCCCCAAGGGCTGCGAGGTCCCGCCTGAGTGCCCGTGGCCCGGACTCCGCTGGACCTCCCAGTGGCCCGCGAAAGAGGTGACGGTTGCGCAATCTGCAGCCACCGAGGGAGCAGCGAGGCCCCGCCCAGCTGCTCGTGGCCCCCGGACTCCGTTGGGCCTCCCAGTTGCCCACGAAAGCGGTGACGGTTGCACAGTTCGCAGCCCCCCCAGGGAGCCGCGGGGTCCCGCCTGGGTGCGCGTACTCCCCGACTCCGTCGTGCCGTCCAGGAGCCCACGAAAGTGGCGACGGTTGTGCAGTTCGCAGCCGCCCGCGGAGCAGCGCAGGAGCAGGCGGACGGAGGAGGGAGGCAGGAGGAGCCGCGACCACCGTGCTCGACCCAAGACGAGAACCCAATCGCAGGAGGGCTGGGAAAACAAAAGCAGTCTTCCGCGCGGTCGCTGACGACTCACGTCTCGCGTCTCGCGTTGTGCGGCCCCGCTCACGTCTCGCATCGCGAGGCCGCTCACGCCTCGCTTCCGGGCCGCCCCAGCCTCTCTAGCGGACCGCTCGTGCCTGGCGTCGCCCACGCAGCCGGCCGTGCGGACTTCCACGATGGCCTTTTTTTCGCACCTTGCTGCGATCTCGGCGACGCTCCGCGGGCGTCTGCACTTTCAGGAGGGAAAAAACACAGACACAATAAATCGTCGATTCCCCAGAAAATACAGGAAAAATGGGAAGTGGGGGGGAAGACAAGAACCCAGGAAGTATAGGAACATATGGGGAATCCTGTGATCTGTACGTATTTATCTGTGTGTCCCAGGGCCCCTTCATGAACACGCTCGGCGGACGCACTGCGGCTTGGGCGCAGCGCGAGGCACGAGGCGAGGAGGCGGCGGCCCCTCGCGAGCACTCTCGTTGTGCCTCTTCTGGGGCCCGCGAGGATGTCCAGCCGGAGCTTTGATCGGCCACGCCCGTGAGGGAGTCCAGCCAGCTGTGTCTATATCTCGGGGGTGGACAGACCTCTTACCCTGACACGTCGATTAAGGAATTGGCCGTTTTCGGTTCGCGAGAGGGCGTCGCGGCCGTGCTCTTAAGGGGAGGTTTGCTAAAGGGAGGTTTGTCCACCGCCGACAGTTGTGTCTATATCTGCCTCGCGAGCACTCTCGTTGTGCCTCTTCTGGGGCCCGCGAGGATGTCCAGCAGAGCTTTGATCGACCACGCCCGTGAGGGAGTCCAGCCAGTGTCTGTGGTATCGGCCACGCTGCCAGTGCTTTCGTCAGCGAGCGAGGACACTGTGAGCAGTGCTCAATCTCGCAACGCTGTGGGTCACACTGCTGCTTGGATCGGCGCACTCCGTGCCTGCCTGGCACCAGATCTGACGTATTTGCAGCTGCTGGTTTCCCGGCGACCTTGGCCGGCTGCGAAGTTGGCAGCTCAATTTGTGTTGCCGTGCATCGCGCTCCGCCGCGGTCTGGGCGCCGCGGGTGCGAGTTATTCCGACAGCGAGGCAGGTCCAATTCGGGTGCTGCTAACCAGACGCGGTCCTGGCCCAAGGCGCCCCGCCAGGGATCGGCGCATTCCGTGCCTGCCTGGCGCCAGATCTGACGTATTTGCAGCCGCTGGTCTCCCGGCGACCTTGGCCGGCTGCGAAGTTGGCAGCTCAATTTGTGTTGCCGTGCATCGCGCTCCGCCGCGGTCTGGGCGACGCGGGCGCGAGTCATTCCGACAGCGAGGCAGGTGCAATTCGGGTGCTGCTAACCAGACGCGGTCCTGGCCCAAGGCGCCCCCAGCTTTTCTCGCCACTCTGGAGCCCCTGGGGCCCCCCTGCGCCTCGAGAGGGGTGCTCCGGGAGGCCATCAGGACCTCCCTCTGGATTCCCCAGGGACACACTGGAGGACACCTCGGGCAGCACCCTCGGGGGGCGGCCACGAGGGGGGTGATGACTTGGGGGTGGTGGATCTCATGGCGGGGGCCATGAGATCTCCCCAGATGTCATGCCGCCTCTTCCTGTGTCACTGCGTCCCCGCCCCCCCCCCCTGGGCCGCGCACGTGCCGCCTGTCATGATTTGCGCCCCCCGCCCCCCCCTCTGTCACCACCCACCAAACCACCCCAACCCAACCCGAAGGCCCAAATTTACCCTCGATTTCCAATGGGGGGGGGGTTGGGAAACATCGAAAAAGCACGCGTGGAACCCTTACCCCCCCCCCAACCCGAAATTCGGGTCTTCGGGTTGGGTTGGGGTGGTCTGGTAGGCAGTCACTACAGGAGAACTATCCAAAACTAGTCAAACAAATAGTCTGGGGACGAGTACTTCTTGACTATGATTATTTTTTGGTGGGGTTATTTTTCACTGTCGCCAAGAGTCCGTCAAAAGCGAGGGAGGTTTGTTTTCCCCCTAGTCATGATTTGCGCCCCCTGCCCCCCTCTCTGGGACGCCCCCCTCCTGGGACGCCCCCGGACGCCCGGCCGGGAGGCGAGGAGCGCCCCCTCCGCTCGGAGGGCACGGCATGGCAGGCCCGGCTCCGTGGCCTTTGCGCGCGAGCCGCGGCGCGCCCTCAGGCGGCCCTGCCTGGGGGCAGGGCCCGAGTCGGGCGTGTGGTACCCTCTGTAAGAACGGTTTTCTGAAGGCAGATCTGCCTTCAAAAAGTCTGCCCCACCAAAGAATACTCATAATCAGGAAGTGCTCGTCCCCAGACTATTTGGTTGACTAGTTTGGGATATTTCTCCTGTAGAGGGGCGTGCCCGACTTACACCTAGCACCCCCAGGTACACTCTGTAAGAACGGTGTTTTGAAGGCAGATCTGCCTTCAAAAAATCGGTCTACTCTGTAAGAGCGATTTTTTGAAGGCAGATCTGCCTTCAAAAATCGGTCTACTCTGTAAGAGCGGTCTTTTGAAGGCAGATCTGCCTTCAAAAAATCTGTCTACCTTGTAAGAACGGTTCTTTGAAGGCAGATCTGCCTTCAAAAAATCGGTCTACCCTGTAAGAACGGTTCTTTGAAGGCAGATCTGCCTTCAGAAAAAAACCGTTCCTACAGAGTAGACCAGTTTTTTGAAGGCAGATCTGCCTTCAAAAAACCGTTCTTACAGAGTAGACCAGTTTTTTGAAGGCAGATCTGCCTTCCAACAACCGTTCTTACAGAGTAGACCGATTTTTTGAAGGCAGATCTGCCTTCAAAATACCGCTCTTACAGAGTGTACCTGGGGGTGCTAGGTGTAAGTCGGGCACGCCCTTCTACAGGAGAAATATCCCAAACTAGTCAACCAAATTGTCTGGGGACGAACACTTCTTGAGTATTCTTTGGTGGGGCTATTTTTCACTGTCGCCTAGAGTCCGCCTGTAGGGGGACACGTGACGCCCGACCTGATGCTAGGTGGGGGGTGAAGAAGAGGGCCCTCAAGGGGCCCCTGAGGCCCCTTTCCCCACCCCACCCCCAGCCAGGCCACTCCCCACTGCCACCCGAGGCCCTCTCAAAGGGCACCCGAGGCCCCTTTCTCTCCCCCCCCCCCAGCCAGGCCACTCCCCACTGCCGCCCGCCCGAGCCTGAGGCGAGCTGCGCGCTCGGCCGCGAGAATCTCGCCCCGCGGGCTGCTCCGCCCCCCGCTGTCGCACGCCGCCCCTGGAGTTTGGCCGCCCGCGGCCGGCTCGCGCGAGGGGCGGTCTGCGGCTCTCGCCATGAAGCAGGCGGGTCCTGAGGTGACCTCGACGACCCTATCTTCCATCGCTAGGCTTAAGTCGGGCCTGTCCCTCTACAGTGTGAATATTCAATTACCCTGGCGACGTACCCAACCCTTGCGCAATGCGGGGCATGCGTATATCAGGATTGCCACAACGGGGGCGATGACGTAACATGGACGCATGTGATTTTGCGAGCAGCAATCGGAAGGCTCGCAGGCCCCCGATCAATATCTAAGGACTATGTAATAACAAATCACCCCCGTTGGCTGTGCCATGCGCCCGTTGCACCCAACGTATCCCACAGCATCTCTTGAGAGCCCCCGCGGGATACGTGTAGGCGCAACGTTATGGCCATCGCCCGGAATATGGTCTGTTTCACAAATCACCTTCGTTGGCTGTGCCATGCGCCCGTGGCGCCTAACGTATCCCACGGCAGCTCTCCAGAGCCCCCCCAGGGACGGCGAGGTCACGCTCAGATCCGCGCGGTGCCTCACTCCGCAGGACCCACCAGCAGCCCTCGAAAGTGGCGACAGTTTCGCAGATCGCAGCCCCCCAGGGACAGCGAGGTCCCGCTCTGATCTGCGCGGTGCCTCTCTCCGCAGGACCCACCAGCAGCCCTCGAAAGTGGCGACAGTTTCGCAGATCGCAGCCCCCCAGGGACAGCGAGGTCCCGCTCTGATCTGCGCGGTGCCTCTCTCCGCAGGACCCACCAGCAACCCTCGAAAGTGGCGACAGTGTCGGAGATCGCAGCCCCCCAGGGACGGCGAGGTCCCGCTCAGATCCGCGCGGTGCCTCACTCCGCAGGACCCACCAGCAGCCCTCGAAAGTGGCGACAGTTTCGCAGATCGCAGCCCCCCAGGGACGGCGAGGTCCCGCTCAGATCTGCGCGGTGCCTCTCTCCGCTGGACCCACCAGCAGCCCTCGAAAGTGGCGACAGTTTCGCAGATCGCAGCCCTGGACGGCGAGGTCCCGCTCAGATCCGCGCGGTGCCTCACCCCGCAGGACCCACCAGCAGCCCTCGAAAGTGGCGACAGTTTCGCCGATCGCAGCCCCCCAGGGACGGCGAGGTCCCGCTCAGATCCGCGCGGTGCCTCACTCCGCTGGACCCACCAGCAGCCCTCGAAAGTGGCGACAGTTTCGCAGATCGCAGCCCCCCAGGGACGGCGAGGTCCCGTTCAGATCCCCGCGGTGCCTTACCCCGCTGTACCCACTAGCAGCCCTCGAAAGCGGCGACAGTTTCGCAGATCGCAGCCCCCCAGGGACGGCGACCACAGGGGGGGGGGCGGGAGGAGGAGGACGCGACCACACCCCTCTATTCAAAACGTAGGCCCAACCGAATAAGTTTGGGAAAAATAGCCAAAACTCGTATGGGGACGATTTTTGGAATATGTTTACCATGTTGGAGTATTTTTGAGGTACTTGTAATTTCTCGTCCAAAATCCCCCTGTAGGGGGACACGCTCGACTTCAGGCTAGGCTGCGGGCGCGTGCGCGCCGAGGGATGCTCGGGCGCCTGCTTGGCCGGGCCTCGGGTTCCCGACGACCGTGTTTTCCGGACGAGTTCCGACTGCCACTTCCCCCCGCCCGGGTTGGTCACGCTCGGGGGACGTGTGTTCGTCCACTGTGCGTTTACCCTGTTCAGCTCTGTCCATGGCACGCAGCCTGAATCGGCCCGCGTTGCATCGCCTGCATCCTATTGACCGGCTTCGTGGACAAGCACAGGTTGGCGGCAACAAGTCAAAAGGTTCATCGATCGGCGGGTCCCGGAGATGTTTCTCCGTTTTCCGGTCTCCGAGGGCGCCCGAGGGCCCGGGGATTGCCGGAGCACGATTTGAGACGAGGAATGGATCTTCGGGCAAGGCCTCCGAGGTCCAGGACCCGTTTCCCTCAGGACCCGCGTGGCTCATGGCAAGCTTGTACTTGGGAGGTCCCGAAATGGTCTTATATTTCGGGCGAAGAGAACTATGCACATGCACCGATCCTGGCAAGGCCCATCCTTGACC